AGAAACAGCACTTATGTTGGCAACATTCGAACAATACTTTCGTTGTGGCTCATGCGCCCGGACAAGAAGCAAAAGCAGCAGCACGCTGTCCAGAGCCTCTGCAAACGAGGCCTCCAATTCCGGCCGAGCGAAGTCCTGTGCCGCCCAACACAAACTCCTCCCCACCAATGATGTGTAGGTTGGCTCCTCAACGGAGACAAAGCCGGGAACGCCGCGATTCAACGTGTCCTCAAATGCGAAAGTTGTCTCAATTGGCCCAGCCACGGTTCGGCGGTGGGGCCGCAACCCAGACCAGCTTGGTGTCTCCCTGGAACTGGAGCTCTTTGGTGGCTCGCAGGAAACTGGACTGCGACATTCTGCCGCTCATGTTGCCACCTGCGAGACGGGCGCTACCATTCCATCCTTTGCCTTCGAAAATATAATTGGGAATCGGCATTTTGCGAGACTGAATCGCTGGAGCGCCTGATTGTCTAGCAATCCTAGTTCCTCGTTGAAGGGTTGATTAATGGCCATCCCTGGCGCAGCCTCACTGCTTATGCATTCATTGTGCTTTACCATGGCCTCATGGGGGAGTTTGGGGCCGGGGCCGCCCTCCTAGTCCTCCCCAAACTAAAAACTGTTCTTGTCAAGTGCTCACACGTGCACAGCTGGAATATGTAGACGCCATGGCAGCTGAGAGAGGGACACCAGCTCCAGTAGGCCTCTTCCAGAGATGAGAACTCCATGGACCTTGCGACCGGCGGACCGGCTGGCCGCAGCTTCCAAACAACCCGATCCCTCAGACGCGAGCAGCAGCTGCATCCAAGCTTGAACATCATCTGTACCGGCAGCTCCTTCACACAACGGATTGAGAGATTATTGGCACGGGAAGGAAAACAGGCAGATGGCCTGAATGGCAAGCACGTCCCAGGCAAGGTCAAGTAATGTAGGGGTTCTGCTCCTGACACCGGCCAAGCGAGCGACCCCGTGAGGCAGACCTCAGGAAAGGTCGGAGAACAGCCTCAAGAGAAACCCACTCCCTAGGCCCGGGGCCAACGGGCTGGCTGAGTCAGGTGAAGTGATCATGCGCCTGGCGTTTTGGTACCATGCCACGGCCCAAGTGGAGATGTGTCACCAACTGCGTTCTCCCAAACATGGGGCAATACCAAACACGGACTTTTCCCATGGTTTGCGAGTGTTGGAAGTTGGCTGCCGAGCCCGAACACCGAGTGTCAAGCAGAGGGCCCGACCAAATGAGATGGAGCTGCAGCAGCAGCGTATCCGGAAAGGGCCTCGGGAGCAAAGGCTACGACGGCGCCTCTGAGCAAATCTCAAAAAAGATACCGCTCGGGCAAAATCGCGCAAATGCTTCTGGTCAATAAGGGCAACTCAAACCAGACTTCCCCTCTACATGTCAACCCTCAACAAGGCCCCTCCCAAACGTATCTCAGCGACGTTTTGGCTCCCCAGGCTCGGCTCCTGGCGGCGGCGGGCGAGCAAACTCCTTGTCCCCCAGCAGCACGGGGCAGCCGTTCGCCTCCAGCACCTGGCCTCAGGGCAGGTTTTCCACAACTTTCCATGATTGAAGCGACCTCCGTGTTGGATAAGTGGACTTTTCATGGGCATCATTTATATGAGGATTTGCGTCCACCAACGTTTCGTTCACCGGCTCACAAACATAGCCGCTGGTGTCCGGTTTCTGTAGGAAAATTTGATGGCCAAAATGCAGCGTCTGTCAGACCATTTCCTTTCCCTCAGCGAAGCCTTGATGTATAATTCACTCCCAAAGTAATCCTTAACACACTACATGTCCACACCCGCTGCACATTCTGCTCCCGCATCAGATGAGCGTGAGTCTTGAGAAATGGCTTCCAAGCAAAAAACACATAAAATAAGCTGCTCAGAGGGGGGTCCAACAGCATAATTCCGCCTCTACGGACCACTTCTCCCCTCCCGGCTCCCTCTCAGCCGCCGGCTCAGGATGCGGGCATTCTCTTCCAGCAGACCATCCAACTCATTGCCCCTCACGCTGCCAGTCCTCGCTCCGCGGGTCCAAATCACGAGGCCAAAGAAAACAGGTCCATGAATTACTTCTATGGCCCATTGAGGGCTTTGGACGGATCCAAGACAAGGGCAGCACACGTGGCGAGAACAAAAGGTGAAACGTGAGGCCAAGTCTTTGAGTTGGCATAGCGGCATGGCCAAAGATTCCCAAAACCAGCGGCGCAGCTTGCAAAAGAAGGGAACCCAGGAATAATAAGACCTGGTTGGCTAGTATGGGATGGGAACCTTCATCAACAGTCAAAATGATGGGTCGCTGATGCGGGCATGTCTGGAAATTTTGCACCCTCCAAATGGATGTTAGTGCCCAAAAGGGTTCCTTCCCATGCGCGACCAGAGTGCCGCCACGCGACTGTTCCGCATGGGCCAGCGCCAGCAGCTCCTTCCGCGAAGAAAAGGAGTACAGAACTGCGGGAAGCGTGGGGACCCTTCTGGCACGACCGAGAAAAGGAGCTAAGCCAAAGCCAACAAGGTGGAATGCATCAAAACTACGGACCCTCTTTCGATCTTGCAGATCTTGGGAACCGTGGACATGACTTCGCCATTTGGCTTTGTCTGAGAAGTCTGGGTCTTCCTCATTGTGTCCATTTCACACCCCAACAATTGCATCAAATCCAAACCGAAGACACGCCGTCCGCAAGCGACTCACACGTCTCGTTGCAGCCTCCGGGGACGCTCGCCCCACACTCACCAGCAGCGCCTAAAATTATCGCACGCCACTCAAAACGAGGCTGGGGCTCCCACCGGCAAACACGAGTCCGGTGAATGAGCAAGTAAAGGCAAAGCGAGCCAACGCATTTATATACTCGATGTCACTGGAGAGGGTAAGCAGGTAAGTGTCTTATCCAACGCATAAGGTATGCTGCGGTACTAAGCACAATGGGCCCTTTGGTTCAGACTCAGCTTCAGAAACCCTCTCACTCCCAGCTACCCTCGGTCGCTTCCAACTCTGGAAAAGCGGCAACGAAAGGCAATCCCAATCCGACCTGGACCTGACCTATGCCGCACTCATAACTCTGTGTGTGTGGGAGGTGCATGGTTCAATGGTCCAGTCTTCCTTCAAGACCAGAAACGGCAACCCTCATGACAATTGCCCAAAGTCCGTACTACGAGCTTAATGATCATTGACCTCTAACCTCAACCGAGCCGTAACATAAACCCAGGATCAATGCAACCCAAAACCCTACAGAGGCCGAACCCCAAGCTTTGATTTTGGCTTAAGCGACCAACCACACACCCTCAAAACACGTCCAGAACTGGGAGCGGTGCCATGATCTTGGTGCAATCCGCAAAGTCTTCCACCAGGGAGTCGCCACGGTCGCTGAGGGTGGCTTTCGACAGGCCACACCCTGGGCGCGCACTTGCATCAGGACCCAATCGCCCATTGAGTGCTAAGGCAGCCAAGGCAGCATGTTGTAAAAAGAATTGGTCAACTCAATCCATTCTGTAGAGCATGGCAATCTTTGGAGATGGACCCAAGAACCCTGCGGCCGTGAACTCCTTCCCGCGCCTGTTGGCACAAGGCGGTCGTTCATGGAGGTCAGCATCTCACGAGATCGACTCCGCACCTCACGCCTGGCTCGAGAAACAAGAGGCTCAACACTGCATCTTCCCTGCAGTGGCAACTGACAAAGCTGTATGGAAGAGAGAGAGAGAGAGAGCAAAACCACATCAGACTCCCAACGCATGAACAAGCCAGCTGAGCAATCTCATCTGAAGCGCTTCAAAGATTTCCGTGATGCATCGCGTGACCTTAGCCAGCGTAGTTTGGGTAGGCCCTTCGCTCTTGCTCTCCCAGGACACGTGCAGGTGTCACTTTGCAATCATAGATCTCGTCAGCCGTGCACATGTTGCCTGCATTGACCTGTCATGGAGCCCACAGCTGGTCTTGCTTTTGGTCTGACATGGGTATGTCATCTTTGTGGGAGCCTCCTTTCGGTTGGCTCTCAAAGGTCAACCAAAAGGAGAGCAATTGGAGTTCAAAGCTTGAGACAAGCATGGCTGCCCACCCCGGTGCGCCAGGCTACGGACAACGCCTTCTCCTTAGGTCGGACATACCAAAGCCGCTATCTGCGGCCCTACGACTCCCCAAGTGCCAGGCGATGTTGGCAATGCATGTGGCACCTGACTCAAAACCAAATCACGAAAGGAATACACCCAAAACTGTGCTTTTCAAATCACAAGGGTGGCCACCTCTTGTCGTGATGAATGGTACCAAGGTCAAATCTGGCTTCAGTTTTGGCGGCCGTCAAGAGTCTCAAGCTGGGCCCCCGACGGGTCCTCGGCTTATGGTAAATGCCCTTGGTGGTCAAATCCACGCCGGGAACCAGCCTGGCAGGACAGGCGCTGCACTTTGCAGCCAATGGCACCATCCGTAGCGCGCAGGACATTGCCCGATATGAAAGAAAGTCTCCAAAGCGAAGCAAACATGGTAAGGAAAGAATAACAGATGTGGGGCATGCAAGGAAACTAGAAGAACGGGTCCTTGAACGGATGGCCCGAAAGCATGACGTACTGAGCGAAACATGTTTTCTGCGCTAGTGGTCTCTGCGCAAGTAACTTGCACAGAGAACTTGCACAGATCGCTTGGAGCAGAAATATTTCAGCATTCTACCACAAAAGAATAATAACAAACACATAGCACCGCATAAGACTGAGACTGAGGCAGGTGCCATAAAAGAAAAAGTAGTATACAGGGTAAGGACTGGCAAAAGCAAAACAAGAGCTAGGCAAAGACACGGACAAAGCTCAAACAAATGCACAGCAAGCAAGGCAAGAAGGTTCAAGCAAAGCAGCGTGGGGCCACAAATCAAAATGATGGAAATGCTCAAGAGCTGGTGACAAAGACAAGCGCAAGGGTGGCCTTTCCACCACCTTGCACAGCACTAGGCCAGTCTTCAGCTCTTCGAAGAAGTTGCTCTCGTCCAGTGGCACCCAGGGCGTTCGAGCTTCTTCACCTGCCAGGAGGCGTGTGCCGCGTCGGGATTCGTTGAAGTGACATCCTCACATTTCCCTCTGAATGGAGAAACCACCCCCAGAAGTCATTTGGGAAGTCCGCACATTTTTGGCCCAGCACATCCCTGCAGTGCCGTTTAGTCAGATGCTGGGCCTGGCGGATCTTGGCAAAGGGCGTTGATCCACTTGGTGAAGAAGGGAACTCTGCTCCAGGAGTGCCGAGCAGGGGTTGCAACCTCTGCAAACAGAACATGTATTGGCATGGCTCGCGCCCAATGGAACGAACAAATGCGTTCACTGGGGCAGTCACCCTCGAACTTGCGAACTCTGCATCTGATTGAAGTCCATCCTTTTTCACAGAGAATGGAGGACTATCCTCCGTGTGTTGTTTCTTCCTGTAAGAAAAGCACCTGAAACTCCTTGGGCAGTCAGTCAGCCCCCTTTGATGCGATCCAACCAAAGGTTGCAAGCTCGTTCCAGCCGTCTCGTGGAATCACCTGAGGCATGAAGCCTCCCCCTTGCTCCTTTCAACTTATCCTCTTAACCGGTACTTCCCATCCCTCGTGTTAAACCGAGACCACAAACTTCGGATTGTGTCTTTGTTCAAAGGAGGCGCTCAGCTCCGAGGCCCAAACCCGGAGCTTCTCCGGCCGCTTAGGCCGCACGGGCGAGGCTTGCGAGGCCTCAACTGCTGGGGTGTGAAGTGACACTCTCGAGACGTCTGTGGGGTCACCAAACACGCTTGTGTGTATATGTATATATATATATTATATATATATATATATACATATGTGTGTTCTGTCAAAATGCGTGGTGTTTTAAAACTCTTGGCTTATTGTGGAGTTGTTGTTCTGAAGGCAGATTACAGAATGGCCGCGGCCACTAAATCCCCACCAAAAGTCTGGTTGGCATGAGGTCATGAGATCCAAAGTTGTTAGAGAAACGGACCGATTGCTGCGCAACAGTTATCTGGCTGATGCCTCATCCCGGCTGAGGGGGATTTCCAATTCGTACCGTGGCGAACCCGTCAATGCCTCCGACGCCACAGGATCGCCAAGTAAAAGAGGGACAGTCACAATGTCAAGCCTTTTTGCGAAAGCCTGTTTCACCAAGCAGACCAGAGCGCACTCCTATGCTAGGGGTCCCCCATTTCCCTTTCTTGGACCTCCGAAAGTGGCAATTCTGTTGGAAGCCACCAGTACACTGATCAACTTTTGATTTGGGGAAATCGAGTGACCCATGTACAATTGCAGATAAAGCGCTGAGACTGGAGAATCCGGACTGATGCTTCGCCCTCAGTCCGTGAAGAACTCAGCAACTGCCCCGGCCGCGCCATGTTCAACCCGCCTTGAGGCTTCCATCTGCCGGGGGTCGATGCCTCGTCGCGCGCCACGGAACCGGACCCTTCCGACATGCCACGAGGCGCTGGCCGGCGAGCCTATCGAAGCCTCGCAACATGTCACCGACACGAGCAAACCAACTCCAAGCTTGACGCAGCTTTTGATTCATTCTCGGACGAACAAGGATGCAGCAGAGCCGAGCATGCAGCAAGTAGAATCGCAGGCATCCCCATCAAGGCTGTGGTAAGAACTGCTCCGTCGGGATTTGAGTCAGACTTTAATTGCTTCCCGCAACATGAGCAGCTGATGTCCTTGTCTCAACCAGGTTGGCAGCTGCAGCATTGTTGCATTGTTCCCCTCTAGTGATCAGTACGATGTCCAATTTATGCACGCTCTGCATGACTGTCTGGGGTTGTGCTGGAATTGCCGCCAGAAGTTCATGATCAAGGTTCACAACGTGCCAGAAAAAAAAGAAGCAGTTGCCAGCGCATGCTGCTTGAGTCCATCAAAGCTGTGATCCTGTCTCTTGGACCCAGGAAGATCGGTGGTCTCAGGCAGACCCCGGCTTGAGCCATTCCATGGGAAAGCAAAGTGGGCTTGCCTTGGCGTGGCCAACAAGAAAGTGTATCATCACCAGGCATTTTCGTCATGCGGCCTCGGGCAGGCCTTGCAAGTCTGACAGCTTTGCTGAGCAGTCACGTCTCGCTGAATCCTGAAGCGGCTGTGCGATGCGTGCGACCGCAACCGTCTGCGTGTGTCTGTGTGTGTGTGTGTGGTGAGTGGTGTGTGGTGTGTGGTGTGTGGTGTGTGGTGTGTGGTGTGTGTGGGTGTGGGTGTGGGTGTGGGTGTGGGTGTGGGTATGGGTATGGGTATGGGTATGGGTATGGGTATGGGTATGGGTGTGGGTGTGGGTGGTGTGGGTGTGGGTGTGGGTGTGGGTGTGGGTGTGGGTGTGGGTGTGGGTGTGGGTGTGGGTGTGGGTGTGGGTGTGGGTGTGGGTGTGGGTGTGGGTGTGGGTGTGGGTGTGGGTGTGGGTGTGGGTGTGGGTGTGGGTGTGGGTGTGGGTGTGGGTGTGGGTGTGGGTGTGGGTGTGGGTGAGGGTGTGGGTGTGGGTGTGGGTGTGGGTGTGGGTGTGGGTGTGGGTGTGGGTGTGGGTGTGGGTGTG